TTCTGTTTCCTATGAATACGGCTGTCTTAACTGAGCAAAACAGAAACATGGATTTTTCTTAACTTTTTTTTTTAAGCCTCTTGTCATAGAGTGCCCCGCACGCAGGGGATAGCAGAGAAATACAGAAATCTACAGTCTACAAAGGGACTGTAGAACTACCTATCCCTAACTTCCCCACAAGTTAATAAACCACACTTTCACAGCCCCCTGAATGACCACTAACTTAGCATGCTTTATTGTGCGCTACTGAGAGACGAAAGCGTGCTCTATATATTGTGCCCACCCTGCTTCTCAAGTCTACACTCAGGGCTATTACTATTTTTTTTAATTAAGATTTTCATTTCCTGAAATTCTTCTGCACCTATGTGGTTTTAACCCATCCTCAATTTGGTAAGTGACTGAGACGGGATGGGAAGCAGGCACTCAAAACACTGCCTCTTCTCTACTCCAATGGCCTTCTGTGTAGGGCAAGCTGTGTTCAGCACGTGCCCATCCCAGCCCACCCCTCAAGAGAATTCCGTCTCTGGGAGGGAGATCACAGCACTGAAGATTAGTGGCAACCTTTTGATTTCAGCTCAGTCAAGGGTAAACTATGTTAATATTAAAGATGTAGCAGGAAATTTTTAGTGACCTATTATGTTACCCACCCATTACATCCACCAAAGGACTTCCAACGAGCTCAAAATAGAGGCTCCCCTTAAAAGATTAACTTCTTTTTTAAGAGGCCTACATGGTACGGTACAGGAGACAGAAGTTAGAAAATTAAAGCGTCTTGGAAAACAGCACCCTCGTCTTAAATCAATGAAGGATGCCTTAAAAAAAAAATGCCAGCCAATTTTTTTTCCATAATGGCAAACGTCAACACAGCAAAACAGGATGCAATTTTTCTAAATAAATAAATCAATGATGTGTCAAAAATTAACAGATGAGTTAATATACTCGGTGCTATCAAAAGCAGGTGGCGCTTCCTAATATTCATCCTGCTCAGTCAATCCCTGAATATTTTCTGGACCATCGGTATATAAAATAGGATGCTGCTATTTGTGATGGCAAACAAAAGCAATCATGCCTGCCAAGCACATACTATAACAGGCGGCATTTCAGCTCTGCTAGACAGAAAGTAATTAGAATGCTTTTAATGTCCAAAAGAATGATGCTGATAGGCTGCCACAGATGTGTAGATTTATGAATATTTATATGGTGGTTTATGGCTGACACTTTTATCAGTTGAAGAAGATAAAATATCTGCCTGACTCAAAAGCTTGACAGTCAGGTTAATAAAATCTCATTAAAGAGAATGACCTATGCAATTATATAGGATTTATTGTAATTCATTTTTGATTGTACTCTGCTTAAAGATGCAATTTCCCATTTCCTGATGCCAAATTTAGGCTGCATATCAAGATCTACGTGGGTTTTTAACTCTAAGCCTCCCACAGAGGAAAAATATGCTTTTAAAACCATGGTGTATTACCCCTTTTAAGGAAAATTATACTCTTCACGAGATTTTATAAGAATTTCGAGAAATCTATTTTTAATCACGTATTTCTTTTCTCAATGGCGTGTAGCATCTAGTGGCAAATAAGATTCACTTCAGCCTTCCATCTTTTCACCGCCTTTACCTCTTCCACCCCGAGCTCACTCAGCACACCGTGGTTTGACAACTTTCGGCTGACAAGGTGGCCCTGAACATTCGCCACAGCCACACGGCTGTGAGAGCAACAGGCAAAGCCCCACCCGCCCCGCCTCGTGTGTTTAGAAGGCCCTGGTGAGCACACAAGCTCATTGGCTCCAAGTGGCACCATTAGCCCCTCAAAGAACCAATCGGCTCTCCATGTGGCTGTCCCTCTGATGGCCACACACGTCACTGTGCCCGTTGAGAGATGGTCTGTCCACTTGTGATGACTATTACCTTAATTCTATGGCTCCCCCTCTGCATCCAGAACGTTCTCTGGGACACAGAAGAAACCTACCATCCAGTTCTCAGCTTTCCCACACCTCTAGGTAGGCACCCAGTGACCTTACCATCCTAGTGACCTTACCCTGGAGTCCGCACTAACAAACAAAAAACAACAATTAATCCACCCCCCCCAAAACCCTGACCAGAACAGCCTTGAGGAAACTGGTAATATGGGAAAAATTTGAAAGAAGAAAAAAGCCCCTTCCTATCTTTAGATTCAGTGGCAATGGCCTCTACCTTGTGATAGAGACAAACTTAAAATAGGATACTAGAAAAAAATACTGAGGGGAGGGGGAAAAAAACCAAAACCAAAAAAACTCCAAATGAAGATGACGGAGAAACTTCCAGAACAAAAGCAGCCATGGAAAGGAGGATAAGAGACGGAGGCTGAAGGAGAGCGTACAGACATCATGGTGGGGAAGAGCAGTAAGCGACGAAAATGGTAAGGAAGGAGCAGATGGATGAGGTTCTAGAGGAAGCAGAGACTGGAGCACAGCAGTCTGAAGAAAGTGCTTGTCCAAGGGCTGGACCAGGCAGATAAGGGCTTCAGCCCCAAAGCTGAGGTTGGAACCAACATTATACAAGAGGTCAACTATGGGCAGTGGGGAAAGGACCCAAACTGCTGAAAAACAACATAGAGAAAACGGTGAGCTGGGGTAAAGGGCACACTCAAGCAGTACAGAGACTGAGGCATGAGAGAGAGCCGTCTGAGGTAAGGCAAGCCCCTGATTGGGAAACAAAAACCAAACAGGACACGAAAGCTGGGGAGGGCCTAACAATGAATATAAAAACACAGTGGTTTGATATAAGGGCAAGGGCAGCGGGGTAAAAAGAAAAAAATCACCTCACAAACAGTAAGGAAGCCATGTAAGAACCCCAACACACACAGAATCTCTAACATCTCCAAGGCATTGGGGGACATGGCAGGTACAAGTCTTCACTATAACCTGTAATTAGATTTTCTTTCTCCAAACCAATCCTTCACATGTCAAAATATTGACAAACGGCAGGGCTCTTAGCATGAGCATCTATAACTCCTTCTGAGACAATGCCCGTCTACTGTCACTAGGAAAACACACACACACACACACACAGAGTCTTAGATTCGCTGACATTCGGAAGCTGGGAGGCTCCTAAGTGCCCTGAGAGGCCTGAGCAGGGAGGGACTTTCTCTCTGATGAACCATAAACGTGGCTGCGTGTCCTTCCTCTGGGGGCAGAGAGGGTGCAGGCCTTGCTCAGAGCTCTCCCGCTCCCCGGTGAGATAGCAATCTCGATCTTTAGCGTGGGCGATCCCCACGCGACTCAGCGACAGACAAACCACGGACCAGGCGGGTGGGGATTGTAACTCTGCGCCTTGGATGCCCTCGAACCCACGTCTGGAGGAGCGATTCCCCCGCCCCTCCAGAAGAAAAAAAACTACACCCCCTCCCAACCAAGTTGAGCACCAGGTCCACGGCTGACTCGGAGTGGAAGACCTACGTGTCTGCGCCACGGATAAAGTGAGGGGTGCGCGCCATCAAAACTGGAGCGCACTGAGAAAAAGAAACGCAGAGACCCCCGGAGGAGCCCAAGTGGCCCCGGACCGCCGGAGGGTGGCGGGGACCTTCAAGGGGCGAAGGACAGGCCCTCCCGAGGCACAGAAGCTCCTAGGAGGGCGAGCTGGCGGCGGGCGGGAAAGAGAAGCGTGGCGTGAGGAAAAAGTGAAGTGGCGGGGAATAAAATGGGCGTCTCCTGGAGTGACCTCAGGCCGCTGTCCCGGGGACTGTCCCCTCCTCGGTACCCCGCCCAGGGCCTGCAATCCCTGCACCCCCCCCCCCACTCCGTCCTCCCGTAGCCGGCCCAGCTTCTCGCCCGCCCGGAGCCCGCGCCCCGGAGCCACCTGTTAGGCGCGCGCGCCGTCGGAAGCCCGGGCCGCGGCGGCGCCGGGAATCTTCCAGAAGTTACTACTGCCCGAGCGCAGCACGCTCCCGAGGCCCGCCGGGCCCCGCGTGCACGGCCTCCCGGGATCCCCCCCCCCACCCTCCGCCCCGCTCCGATCGCCCAGTCCCCACGCCACCGCAAAGTTGCAGCCGGGGAGTCGGTACCTGCACTGAGCTCCAAGCTGACGCCGTCGCTACCCGCGCTGCTGCTGCCCGCGCCGCTGGCCGGGCCCGGGCCGTACCTGACGACGGCGGCGAAGGACGACGACGACGAGGCGACGGGGGCCGTGGGCGGCGGCGGCGGCGCCGGAGTCCTCGGGTGGCTGGGGGGCGCGGCGGGCGTGCAGGACGGCGACGACGACGAGGCGGCGGCGGCGGCGGGGGCCCGGCCTGCCCCGGCCGGGTAGGACGGCTGCGTCGGGAACGGCGGCGGCGGCGGCTCGCTGCTGCTGATGGACACGGCGGCGAGCGGCGCGAAGGGCGGCGGCGGCGGCGGCGGCGGCAGCGGGGACGGCCGCGCGGGCGGCAGCTCCAGCAGCGTGGGTCTGTCGTAGCGCTTGGCCAGCGCCGGCCGCCGGCTGGGGAACGTCTTGAGGACGCTGTAGGGGCCGCGCTGCTTGTAGATGCGGGGCGCGCTGGGCCCCTCCTCCGCCGCCTGCATCTCGGGCTCCATGCCGAGCCGGAGGCCCTGCCCGCCCCGCGCGCGGCTCCAGGGGTGGCTCGGCCGCCCGGCCGCCCGCTCTACCCCGGCGCGCGCCGGCGGGAAGGCGTGTGTCTGCGCCGTGGTGGCCGCCGCCGCTGCCGCCGCCTGTCGCCGAGCCTGGCATCTCCGAGCCCCCGCGCGGGGGGCTGCCGCCCAGCGCTGATTGACAGCCCGCCTCGCCAATGCCTGGAGGGAGAAAGGAGGTAAGGAGCAAGTGTTTAGGGTAATATCTGCTAATGATGATGGGGGCGGGGCGGGGCCTGGCGCCGGGGCGGCCCGCGCGATCGGCGCCTCGGACAGGGTCGTGGGGGGAGGGGAGGGAGGGGAGGCCGCGGCCCTTGGGGACCCGGTGGCGGGACGGGGGGTTGGGGGGGACGACGGGGATGGGGTGGGGGACGGAACCTGGAGGGCGTCCTGCTGGGGACAGGTGGAAGAGGTGGGCTCCCGGGTCTCTCTGCTGTGGACGAGAGGCGGCCGTGCTTGCCGGCCGGGTCCGAGCTTTGCAAATGAGTTCCCGGCGCCCTCCTGCGTGACCTCCCAACTCTCGGAGTGCACGAAGGGGGTGGTACCTAGAAGTTAGGGCGGGGTCGCCGGAGTGCAAGGGTGGGACGGTAAGTTCTTCTAGAAGGATACCACACTCCCCCCCCCCCCCTTCGGAAAAGAACGTCTTGCAGGACTTGGCACGGGCTGCTGGGAGGCTTGTCCTACCTTAGGGTCTTGCTGTCCCAGGTTTGGCGGCTGAACCTGAAAGCGCTCAGGGCCCTGGGCTTGCACACCGTTTCACTTGTTCTCCATAGGGGGCTGGGAGAGAGCCGAGGGACGCCATTACTTCTCTCCATTCTACAGATTTGAAAACTGAGGCTCCGCAAGATTAAAGGACATTATCCAAATTCACGCAGAGGAGCTTGTGAGTGAGTTGCACGGATGCAGACAGGTCTTCAGAATTTAAAATAGCTGGTAGACGGTGCAATTAAAGGGAACAAAATGACCTCACGCTTCCCTCGGGGCTGATGATTGCTTTGAACATTATTATTTACGCGTATACTTTGCAAGACCAAGGTGGCCTGGGATCTCACTTCCTACATTGTTCATTCCAGCTGGCACAACCAAGCTAGGGGTTCTGGGGAGCACGGGGTCTCAATACTTGTTTGAATGAAGGAAGACCCCCCCCCCGTAGTTTGCAGGAGGACCCCATAAGGTCCTTGAAACACAAGGAAGAGGTCTGCCGCCTGCCGGTCATTCCTTACTATCTCGAAGGAAGCATCCTTCAATAGGCCTACTCCAGCCCCAGCATCCCCTCCTCCCAAGCTTGGGTTCCAGCCTCGTTCATCATTATCCGGGTCCTTGATGGATGACCCTCATCTCTCCCATCCGGAGTGACTTTCTTATTCAGAGCTATCGTTTTAGTCTTGGCAAAGTGACCCATTTTCTTCTGGGGTCCAAGTCTTTGACCTCCCATTTCCCAGGTCTCCCTTCCTTCTGAAGAGTTCTTCCTTACTGTTTCAGAGCCTGTGTCGACCCCCCCCTCCCCAGACTGTCCTCCTCTCCTCTGTAAGCTCCTCAGATAGTGCTGTGCCCCTCCTCCATTTATTAGAGATGAAATAAATAATGCCATAAATAAAAGTATTTGGGAGTCCAGGAACTGTCAGGGCTGATTAGGGCATAGAGGACATTTTCTTTCTCATTATGCAAAAGCATTTCATGGGGAAATAAAAGAGGTTTCATTGTAACTCATGCATGTCATATTTCAAGGAATTCAAGATATTAATCATATTTAACATTATTTGCAACGTTTTCTTCTCCCTGGCTTCTGAAAACTGCTAAATGAGGACACGTGGATCACCAGGAAGAAAGGGAGAGGAACATGAGGGGGACAGTTGAGAAATAATGAAAGGCTGGTGAAGGAGACCGAGGGAGATGCCAGGGAGACGTTTCTCAGGCGCACAAGTGAGGAATGGGGGAGTGACTTCTGGGACGGGAGACAGATGAAACTGAATGATACACGAGGAAATAAATGATAGCAAGCCTCCCCGCACGTTCCCGGCGAGAGAGCGGTTCTGAATTTTGCATTGAAACCTTTCCCTCCCACTTTACTCCCCGATAATTTGCCAGGAACTCCTAGCTTTTGGAAAGAAATTAGGGTGAGGCTTGGTGGGGAGAAGACCTTCGGCCCTCTGGTAAAGAAATGACTTCTTGTATCTGGGGAGGGTGAAGCTATCTGTTCTACGCAGATTTATTTATTTACTTTAGAGTTATTAATTTTACTTGTCTGCGTGTGTTGCCTGCAGGTGTGCATGTGCCCCGCCTGGACGCCTGTGGCCCGGGGACCTGGAACTGGTACCACCGATGGTTGTGAGTCATCACGTGGGTGCTGGGACTCGAACCTGAGTCCTCTGCAAGAACAGCAAGCGCTCTTGACCACTCAGCCATCTCCCCAGCCCCTAAGTATGTGTTTTAGATTTATGTCATCCTTTCTGCTCAAACACCTTGAGAGACGGGCAGCCATACTCCCTGCTTTCCTGACTGAAGGGACCGTCCATCAGTTTTTCCCCCAAAGTGGCCATTCCTACAAATGCAAACACTCAAATGAGAGGTTGCTTTGGTTGGGATCATCTCTAAACGTCCACGTTGGAAACTTAGTCCCCACTGTAGCAGTGGGGGGGGGGGGCCTACGGTCAGGCATTTGCCACACGAGGGCTGTGTCCTCAAGCTTGGGTTGATGCCTGTTATACAAGAGCACAGGAATGTGAGTTTGGATTCATGGGTGCTCCTGTGGGTGATGCCTCTGTCGCACTGTGTTGCATGTTACAGCAAAAAGGCTCTAAGCAATGGATGCCCATCAACCCTGGACATCTTGGCCTCTGGAATGGCAAAAGCAAAACAAAACAGGAACAACAAAAAAAAACCCTCTCAATTTCCATTCTTTACAAATTCCTGAGTGCATGGTATTCTGTCATACCTTGTATGGGTAAGCAGAAGACGGTCATTGCAACAGCAATTCCATTACAAAGTACTCAAGAATTTGGGAGAATGAACGTGAAAGGCCTAGGTTGCTATGAATGATATTAATGGTGAGTCTGGTGAGAACTCGGAACTGTAGAGAAAGAGTGGTTAAGCGGTTTTGATTTATGCTAGAAAAATGGGGTTTGGTGGCTCACACCTGTAATCCCAGAGCTATCCCCCTAATCTGGCATTCATTTGGGAGGGACAATCAAGAGGCCTGATCTGTAATACATATCCATACACCCCATTTAAAAAAGAAAAGAGGTAGGAGAGAAGGAAGGAGGGGCAGGTTGATGGTTAAGGGCATTCTAATGAGTCTCCGGTTGGAATGAGGATCAGAGCTTTAGAAGCTGGAGGAAAGGACGTCTCGGCTCTCCAGAACTCTGCCTTAGGAGTGTGTGGAAGGCAAAACTTCTCCATAAAGAACAATGAAGTACGACGTCTGGCAGGATAAATAGCTACGCCTTTGCAAAGCCTTCAGAGGGCTGCACAGCTTCTTTTGGCCGAGAGACTAGAGAAATGATTTAAAGGTGGAATTTATAATTAAAGGGGATGCAGAGCGGAAAGATGGGGAGATTTGCAGCCTGGCATGGTAAGAGTGAAAAAGCATGCCCAGGAGAGAGTACTGTGGGGATAGCCAGTGGCCCTTTGCTTAGGAGATTATTCAGGTTCCGGTGCTCGGGATCTATTCATCAGGATAATGAGACAGTGGCCTTAACTGTCTGGGATCTTTGAGACAAGCCAGGACTTTGAAGGCAAGGTTTAAAGAAAGGCACGTGCTGCCCAGAGCCACCTTGGAAGGCTTCTGCATTCTGGCGCAGCATTCCCGGGCTACTCCGGCTGTGTCTCAAGCTGGACTAGGTTAGCTCAGAAGGGCGGAAGCAGTAAGCTTTGCAAGTAGCAGTGTGTGCTGACTCAGAATGCAAGCTATGGGACCAACTGTCAAAGGTATGTTGGGCAGTTTGGAACTTCAGGCAGAGACTGGTCAGAGGGGCAGGGTTACCACAGAGAGCCCTAACTAGGGAGTGCCTATTGTAGGTCTGGAAATAAGGTGCTTTTAAAGTCCCCCCAAACTGTAGAGTTGGTGTCCTTGGAAAGCTGAATAAGCTGATCCCAGCAGAGGCTGAGGAGTGGCCACTTGATACTTTGGGGGCCCGAACCCTGAAGGACATCTAGGAGGTGGTAGGTGGCTATTCTGGAGCCTTCAGATTTAAATGTTCACCCCTTTGGGTTTGGATTTACCAAGCCCCATCCCATCATATTTGTGATTTTGAGATAGGGTCTCACTGTAGCCTAGAGTGGCTCTAAAGTCACTGTGTAGCAGCGTCTTGGCTAAACTTTGAAGTGATTCCCCTGCCTCAGCCTCCCAAGTACTAGGATTACTGAGGGCTGGGTTTACAGATATTGGCCACCATTCTTGGCCCATACTTGTGTTTTGGAAGTCGATAACGTGTTTGAGTTCACTGATTCCAAGCTGGAGAAGTAGCCAAGGATGGAATATGGTAGCTGATTTAGATGCCACTCTTGGGCTTTGGGCTTGGCACTGGAATGAGTTTAGACTCTGGGGGGCTTTTGAGGTGGACAGTTGTAATTTGTATATGAAGATGACGTGCCTTGTGGAGGACAGGGGCAGGATACTAATGGCGTGAGTGTGTCTCCCAATAGCACGTCATGGAAACAATCCCCAGTGTGACGCTGTTTAGAAGTAGAACATAATGAAAGGTCCTCAGGGCTGCCCCTCGTGGATGGCATAAATGTGGATGGCTTGAAGCTTCCAGGACATCTGTGGCTCTCCCTTACCCACACCATGCTGTCTGCCGTGTTATAACATAGGAGGGAGGTTCTAACCATTAGACCTGCACCCTTGAGCTCCCCAGCCTCCAGAGCTATAAGCCTAACAAACTTACAGTGTCTATAAACTACCACATCTTTGGAATCCTAGTATAGCCTCACAGGAATGAATTAAGACAGTGGCTTAGCTTTGCTTCTTGTGAAAGGTCTTGAAGAAGAAAACTGCCAGGAATTTGGAGTGGTCACCTTTCCTATCCTAGCGCAGGCCGCTCCCTGTGTAACAGGAAATGGTGTTAGCAGCCGAGAGAGAGCACCTGTAATCCAGATGCTTAGCACACAGAGGTGACAGGCCCTCCCGGTCCAGTCCTCAGTAATCAGGAGAAAAAGAGGGAAATAAAAAAAAAAAAAGTAACGTTCTTGTTAATTATCCCTTAGAACGGACACTGACTCCCAAGTGTGGAGCTATACACTCCTTCAGACCTTGGACCACTCCTCCCGCTGAACTCAGCACTGTGTGTGCACGCGTGCAGCAGAGCTCCCTGAAGAGGAAGAAGCATCTACTGAGTTAAAGATCCTCAGGCTGCTTGACCTTGGCTGATTAGAACTGTGGTTGTGGACTGATGGGCAGTCAGGGCCGAAAGTACTCTGAGCCTCCTCGGCTCCTTAACAGCCATTTACTTTCAACCTCTGTATCTGGCCTAACATCCCGGTGACCAGGTTAAGCTCTCACAGTACGTCACTGACCTTCATGGACCTTTGGCTCCCGCCCACTCTGAAGAACATTCTAACATCTCAACCTGTAGAAAGCACTTCCGGCCTTGCGGTAGCTTCTCCACAGTTGTCTAGTGCTTTTGAAGACGTAACTGTTTATCACCTTCCTGGTTCTGTGGCTGTGCAGACGGCCTCGTCTACCATGGAACATGTTGTTCAGAGAAGCCCGAGTCTACGTCCTGGGCCATGACCACTTGTCTTTGGCTAAGAATGAGCTGCTTCCTTTTTCCCTTGAATGCCCAGCTGCTGCTTTACAGCTCTTTGATACAAACATAACAGAGCCAAGCACTTGCAAAGTCCTTCATAAGGAGCACTCAGTAAACGTCTTGCTCTACTCTGTTGTCTAAGTCATCAGACAATGACTTTGCTGCTGTCTGCTCTTGGGGGCTGTACAGAGACAGATAGGATGACAACTATAGTTATGCTTTAAATCTTTTTAGATGTTTACTCTTAACTCAAAAATAAGAGATGGTGAAAGCCAAGGGGTTATCTATGGACAGGGTAAAATTTTGATTGGCAGCATCTCAATTCCTTGAGTCATCCAGAATATAGCTTTTAAATAATAACCCAGCCATGGGAAATGCTTTTTATTGCACCAATTTCAATGATATTTAATGAGCTTCTGATTGACTGTTTGATCTCCCAATGTTTTGTGCTACTTTTAATTCATTTCGTATAATAGAAAAAAAAAGTAATTGGAATAAAATTTTGTGACAAGATAATGACCTTCCACTTTGAAATTAAATGTCTGATTAGCTTCAACATTTTAATGCTGAGATGATGCTGCAGCAGGCACAGGAGTGCACCTACTGTCATTCCATGGAAAGTGACTGAGGAATATGCCCTCGCTTTGCTGATCGTATAGCCAAAGGGCGTGGTGGCTGTAGAATCAGAGACGCACAGGCCTAGAAGGGAGTGGCGCAGTCGCCTGAACCCGTGTCTGCAGTTTTTAACAACTTGGATACGTGCATCTCTGAATGCATCGGCCATTCACCCAGGTATTAGTCCAGAATATTTATTGTGTGTCTACTATGTGTTAGGTGTCTTTATGGGTTCTGAGGGATATAATAGTGCAACAGATTCCAGGGTATCCTGGGAGAGCAAGGAGCAGATGATAAATTAGTCACTGTTGTTGGGAGGCTGCTTGTTTGTTTCCCGGCTGCCCCGACTCCCAAAATAATCACACAGAAACTATATTATTTAAAACACTGCTTGGCCAATGACTCTAGCATATTCCTAGCAAACTATTACGTATTAAATTAACCCATTTCTATTATTTTATATTTTACCATGAGGCTCGTGGCCTACCAGGAAGGTTCCAGCTGGCGACTTGCGTCTTTCTCCTCTAGCGACTCCATGACTCCTGACTCTGCCTTCTTTCTTCCAGCATTCAGCTTAGTTCCCACCCCCACCCCAGCTCTGCTCTACCCTATCACAGGCCCAAAACAGCTTCTTTATTAGCCAATGGTGTTCACAGCATACAGAGGGAAATCCCACATCACTTCCCCTTTTCTGTCTAAATAAAAAGGAAGGTTTCACTTTAACATAGTAAAATTACATATAACAAAACAGGTATCAAGTAAAAATTATAGTTACAATATTTATATCTACTTTATCTTTTATCATAAGTGAGGAAAAGTATAATTATAACTATCTATTCTTCAATTCCATCAAAGACTACAGAAGGATATAATATTACCTAAGTAAACAGGAAGTGCATTGTAAGCAATTTCCAAAACTCTAGAATTATCAGAGACATCTCACTGCCTGGACAGCCACCCAGAGTTCTTCTGTAATGTTTGGATATCCATCTTCAGCCTACCAGCCCATAGTATCTGGCAGACTTTTCTATGAAGCAGGAAATTTCAAAGACAGCTCCGCCTATATTGACAGTTTGTCAGTCACCTTTTTCTGTGTCCTGCAGAATGTCTGGCAGTCTCTTTAATGAAGCAGGAACCCTGAAGGACCGTCTCACCTTCTTTAGGGGACTTTAGCAGTCATTTCTCTGTGGGTCCTGCATGTCCAGCTCATACAGCAGAACATCAAGCAGTCCAGGCAAGAGCAGTATCTTGCCCAAACGGCTAAGAAGCCTCTTAGATGCTCATCACCCTCTTGGTGCTGCCAGGAGCAGGTGTGTTTCATTGTCATGAAAAGTCTTAAGCTCTTAAAACACTTTACATGCCATATTCTGAAGGTCTCTGAAAGATGTGAAGAATACCTATCTAACTGCCACATCCCTAGGCTTGTGGTTCTGGGTACTATAAGAAAGCAGGATGAGCAAACCAGTAAGGAGCATCTTTCCATGGCTTTTACATCAGTTCCTGCCTCCAGATTCCTGCCCGAAATTCCTGGTCAACTTCCTCTAATGATGGAATATGATGTAGAAGTATAAGCCAAATAAACCCTTTCCTCTCCAGGTTGTGTTTGGTCATGGTGTGTTATCACAGCAATGGAATCCCTAACGAAGACAATTGATGTTACTTTGATAAATGGCTGATAGCTCACATGGGAGAAAACCAGTTCATACGAACAACCCAGGACAACAGGTACAACAGCCGTTGGGTGGGGTGCTTTGAGGAGCAGAAAGAAGGAGGTCAGGCAAATGCAGGGGGCTTGAGAGCAGAATACAGGGCTCATTCTGACTGCAGAGGGACCTTGAGAACTCAGGACAGAGTGACATCACCATCGAGTTTATGTTTTTAAAAGCTATTTACAGGAAAGGCACAACTGTAGTTCTTTTTTTTTTTTAAATATTTATTTATTATTTATACAATAGTCTATCTGTGTGTATGCCGAAGGCCAGAAGAGGGCATCAGACCTCATTGCAGATGGTTGTGAGCCACCATGTGGTTGCTGGGAATTGAACTCAGGACCTTTGGAAGAACAGACAATGCTCTTAACCACTGAGCCATCTCTCCAGCCCCCACAACTGTAGTTCTTATACAGACACACAAAGGAACGTGTTAAAGATTTTATCTGGCTTGGACTTGGTAGCATGGACTATGTCAAATTCCACCTCATGATTTCAAAGCAAATTACATACTTGTATAGAATAAAGGAAGATTCACTTTCCAGGGGACGTGGGCAAAGGAGGGAACCTTTTCTGTTGTCTAACAGTTATCCAAGCTTGAAAAGTTAAATACAAACCAGTGAAAGACATTGAGAGAGTACCAGCAGGTAACTACAAAAATGAGGGTCATTACACACGACAGTGTCCCAATGAAACACAGTATTTTTTCTGCAATGATTAAAAAAAGCAAAAGAATGGCTAAAATCAAAAGCACCGATGATAGCCTTTGCTGGAGAGGCTGTGGAGGAAGGGGTACCCTCATCCATTGCTGGTGGGAATGCAATCTTGTGCAACCACTTTGGAAATCAGTGTTTCGGTTTCTCAGGAAATTCGGGATCAACCTACCCCTGGACCCAGCAATACCACTCTTGGGAATATACCCAAGAGATGCCCTATCATATGACAAAAGCATTTGTTCAACTATGTTCATAGCAGCATTATTTGTAATAGCCAGAACCTGGAAACAACCTAGATGCCCTTCAATGGAAGAATGGATGAAGAAAGTGTGGAATATATACACATTAGAGTATTATGCTGCGGTAAAAAACAATGACTTCTCGAATTTTGCATGCAAATGGATGGAAATAGAAAACACTATCCTGAGCGAGGTAACCCAGACCCAAAAAGATGAACATGGGATGTATTCACTCATAATTGGTTTCTAGCCATAAATAAAGGTCACGGAGTGTATACCTGGTGAACCTAAAGAAGCTAAAGAAGAAGGTGAACCCAAGAAAAAACATATAGTTATCCTCTTGGCTAAGGGAAGTAGATAAAATTGCCGGGGACAAAATTGGGATCTTGGGGGTGGGGTGGGTTGGGGATAAGGGGGGACAGGGAGAGAAAAGTGAGAAGGGGAGGATTGGGGGAACTTGGGGAAACAGGAAGATTGGGATAAAGGAAGGTTGGATAGGGGAGCAGGGAAGCACATATCTTAGTTAAGGGAGCCACCTTAGTGTTGGCAAGAGACTTGAACCTAGAGTGGCTCCCAGGAGCCCAAGGCGATGTCCCCAGTTAGTCCCTTGGGAAGCTGAGGATAGGGAACCTGAACTGACCCTATCCTATAGCAATACTGACGAATATCTTTCATATCACCATAGAACCTTCATCTGGTGATGGATGGAGATAGAGACAGAGACCCACACTGGAGCACTGGACTGAGCTCCCAAGGTCCCAATGAGAAGCAGATGGAGGGAGAACATGAGCAAGGATGTCAGGACCACGGGGGGTGCACCCACCCACTGAGACAGTGGGGCTGATCTATTGGGAGCTCACCAAAGCCAGCTGGACTGTGACTGAAACAGCATGGGATAAAACCGGACTCTCTGATCATGGCGAACAATGAGGACTGATGAGAAGCCAAGGTCAATGGCAAGGGGTTTTGATCCTACTTCATGTTCTGGCTTGATGGGAGCCTAGCCAGTTTGGATGTTCACCTTCCTAGACATGGACGGAGGGGGGAGGACCTTGGACTTTCCACAGGGCAGGGAACCATGACTGCTCTTTGGATAGGAGAGGGAGGGTGAGAGGAGTGGGGGGAGGGGGAGAAGGGAGGGGGGAGGGGAGAAGATTGGGGGGAGGGGGAGGGAAATGGGAGGCTGGGAGGAGGCGGAAACTTTTTTTTTCTTATTCTCAATAAAATAAAAAAAAAAGAAAAAAGAAAAAGAAGTATTTTTAAGATTATTTTAGATTCACAGGAGGTTGAAAAAAATGGTATAAAGAAATCCCAGAAAGTAATACCTTTCATCTACTTTTTGCAAGGAGCACACCTTGTGTTCCTCTAGCTATGTACTTTGCATGATATATATGCCCTTTCGAAGTTTGTCACTTAGTTTAACATCCTGCGACCCACCCGTGTTTTTTGTGTGCACCGATAGTTTGCTCCTTTTTACGGCTGAGTAGTAGGCTGTGGTGTGGATGTAGCCCAGGCTTTTAGTCAGTCCTCTTTTGAAGGATGTTATGACGGTTAGCAGTTTGAGGCAACGGCACGTACGGCTGCTCTGAACAGTCATGTGGGACTTTTACATGGAGGTAAATTTTATTCTCTGGGGCCAAGTGGCTAAGAGTGGGTTGTTGGGGGCTTCACTGTGCCTTCTTACTTTTACAGGATCTGATGGTCAGAAGAGACAGTTTGTTTCCAAACCAGACGCCATGGATTCTTTCAAATATAACCGTGCTTCTGCCCAGTGTATTGGTGCTCGCCTTTGATCCCAGCACTGGAGAGGAGAGGCAGAGGCAGCCAGATCTCTGAGAGTTCAAGGCCTGCCTGGTCTACAGAGGGAGTTCCAGGACAACCAGCGCTACATAGTAAGACCCTGTGGTGAGACCCTGTCTCAGAGACAAAACAAAATAAACACCCTACATATCTAATCGGCTTCCAGTCTCCCCTCCATTGTCTTCCCCTCTCCAGGGTGAAGTTCAGAGCTACAGTTGCTGACTTAGGTCCTTATGACCCGAGGCTGCCACCCCTTGCCTCTCAGAGCTCGGTCCTTCTCCCCTCTCTGTTCCTGTCCCCCCCCCCCCCCCCCCCCCCCCCCCCCCCCCCCCCCCCCCCTGCCCCCCCCCCCCCCCCCCCCCCCCGCCAGTCTCACTGGTCTTTCTGAATAAGACAGAGGTGTTTACCCGAAATGCTCTTTCCCAGGGTGTCTGCAGCCCTCTTCCATATTTCCCGTAGACTGTGGTATCCATGCTTGGTGGGGCCTTCACTAAGCTCCCTGCTTACAGCTGCAATCCTTCCCCGCACCCACACACCCATCTCTCTTCCTGTCTAGCACGGTCACTGTCTGTCACGCTATACCATGCTCTTGTGAGGAGGTTGTAATCCCCTTGCGGGAGGCTTGCTGAGTCCACAGCGCGTGGTGGAGGCCTGGTGAACTCACTGTGCGAGGGAATGACCGTAGGAGCTGTGGAAGCAGTCGGAGGAAGTGGTAAGATGACCTGGGACAGAGCGGCAGTAGTCCTGCTGGAAGGGGGAAGACACAGGCAGCGTATATTCGAGAAGCATGTGTTCTACTGCACACTGCTCTGAGCAGATGGTCTTCGTTTTGAACTTAAATATTCTCTAGCTGGGCGGTGGTGGCTCATGCCTTTAATCCCACCCAGCACTTGGGAGGCAGAGGCAAGTGTATCTCTGAGTGTTCGAGGCCAGCCTGATCTACATTCTCATTTGTTTCTCCTGCTTGTTGGCCCTTTGGATTCCTCAGGAAGGCTCGATCTTCTCCTCATTCTCTCTTCCAAAGGAGGTCTGCGGTAGATTCCTTTCCTTTCTGTAAAGGAAGTCTGTGGAGCCTAGTAGGAAAGTGATACCCTTTGAAAGAGTTTTATAAGAGTATATAAGGGTAGTCATTCTTAAAAATTGAGTTACTCTTTCTTTTCACAAATAGTATTCTAGACTCATGAGAACCCATAAATAAGTCAAAGACCCCAACTGAGGTGGATATAAAGGAGCTTATGGCTCAGGTTCCCGTGAGGACAGGAGACAACCTGATGCAGGGTTGACATGCATGCTCCTAAGATGCTATGAGCAGTCTGCCTCAGTGTTCCTCCTGCCTGTTCTGTTCTTGGTGTTCGTTCATTCTGCTGGAGCCTGTTCCTTGCTAGTCCGCATGGCCCAGACTATCAGCTGTGCGCAGGATATCTATTTCCTACCAGATTCCAAAGTGTCCGCATTGACCGCCATTGCCTGATCGAGTCTTGGTGATGGA